CATTCTTTGATAAATTCTGGGAAATTATAACTGGGAATAAGTTATTCGACAAAATGTACATGTAAATGTAAGTAATGCTTTTTTTCAGTCTTGGTCGGCGGCATTATTATTAAATTCACTTACACTATATATATATATATATATATATATATATATATATATATATATATATATAGTCTTGGCCGCGGCATTATTATTAAACTTCACTTCACCTATATATATATATATATATGATTTAGTAGTTAATTTTGATGTTGAAATATATGAGTGAGTTCTTGAGGGCGATACATCAAACAAAGAAAAGCCAAAGATTTATAAAATAATCTTTATTTCCAAACGTTTCGACATTCAATTTAATGTCATCATCAGTGGATCTAAAAACAGTATGAAAATTAGCATATCTAGGTAATTATAATATATGTGGATTGGTAAAGTAACTATACAATAAGAGAAAAATTAACAAACAGCAACACTTAACAACAAACCAAATATAAAAGATAGGAAAGGGTAGTAGAGACTAGAATTAAATAAATAATAAAAAAAGTATAGGCAAAAATATTTAAGTACACTCATATAAACCTACGCATATATACATATATATACATACACATATACACACATATACATATATATATATATATATATACATGGATATATCCATATACACACACATACAAACATATAATACACATATACATATACAGATACAACAATATATACCTATATATGTACACATATACATGTAAGACTATACACATATAATATACGTATATACATATATGCAACGTGCAAGCATATTCACAACGACGTACATGTACATGTATGAACCATACATATACTCATACCTATCTATGTAACTATAGCTATACACGTATACACATACATATACGCATAAACATGTATATACACATATATACACACACATATATATACATATTATACATACATATATATATATACACACAATACATATATATACATATGTACATAAATGCTCACAAATATATATATATATATATAGATATATATAGATATACACATACATATATATACATATATATATATATATATATACACATACATACATGCATATATACGTATATATAACTACATGTATACACATATACATATGCACATACATACAAACATACATGTAAATAAGTAATATACATATAATACATACATACATACAAATACATATATATATATATATTAATATATATACATATAAATATATAAACATACAATATATGTAAACTCGTATATATGTAAAGCAAACAAAATTATTTATGAAGATGGATAAACATATAAAATACAAGTGGACTTACATTACGTTGGTTAGTTACATATAGAGAAGTGTACACAGCACTAGAGATTTGGCACTAACATTTATACAACTAACTTGTCAGCACTATGCATTTTTATATAATTTTTTTGTATGATGTAAACAGAAAAATGATAGTTTTATTGAACAAAAATGTAAGTAGAATTATGTAATTTCTGCCACGACTTCTGTACTTTGCTAGTACCGAGGCATATATAAAAGTCACCACATGTTTTGAGAGATTTTTAAGGGTCATTCCAGGATTGTTATGGGCGGGTAGGTAGAAAATAGTCGGAAGTTGAAACTAGTAATGTTAGGCTAGGTTTGTATGGTTAGAATTAGGAGAAAAAAAATGGGAAATGTTATTTAGTATTACTAAGTAGTTATAATAATAACTCAAAAATCTAAAATAAAAAATTTTTTTTAAGGTTTATTCAAAATTTGCTATGTATGGGTAGGTAAAGCTCGGGTATCAAGGCCGAAGTTAAACTAGGAAGTGTTGGCAAGGTTAGTAAGGTCACTTAGTTTGTTCAGAGGAGATAAATTTGGAAACATTATTTAGTATTACTTGGTAGTTATCGCAGAGTAAGGAGGAATCCGATCTTTTATTCACCACGTGGTCACATATTGATATGAAACAAGATTCTGCAAAACGTCTCTGAATGGTGTTCCGTTCATGGTAGAGAATACTGGCATTATAAAAGTTAAAGGAGTGTTTGAAATTTTTATGTGTTCTGTTATCATAGTTTGGTTTTGGTTGGGGTTTTCGAATATTGTCGTGTTGTTTGAGTCTTTTTATTAAATTTTGTCCGGTTTCACCTATGTAAGTAGAAGGGCAATCATTGCAATTTATTTTGTAGACAATGTTGGAAGTACGTTCTATACTAGTGGGAGATTTCAGGTTTGTGTAGAGGGATTTAAGAGTTAGATCTATGTTGCAGGTAGTCTGATGTCTACCTTATGAAAAAGTTTTTCCACACTGGAAAAAGTTCTTTTACGTAAGGTAAACAAACGTTGCCTATATAGTTATTGTCTTTAGAATTTTTTTCTGGGGAAAAAGAAGAATGCATACTGTTGAGGGTTTTAAGTCTGTTGGAGGTGACGGAGTTGATGAGGTGCGGTGGATATGAGTTGTTAATTAAAGTTGTGCGGATGAGGGATAAGTTAGAGGGCCAAAATTGTTTGTCTGAGAGTAGGATGGCATGGTCGACTAAATAATAATAGTGCCTATCTTCATGCTAGAAGGGTGGTAAGAATGATAATTTAAATACTACCCGACCAAGTAGGTTTTTGGAACCAATTGGTGATAATTCGATTGTCTGCGGTTTTTATAATTTTTACGTCTAAAAAGCTGATAGAATTTCTTGTTTTTTTCAAACGTAAAGGAGAGATGCTCATTAAATGAGTTAAAACTATGAAGTAAGAGTTCGAAATTTTTAACAGGAACACAAGTAAGGATGTCATCAACATATCTGTAATAAAAATGAAGGTCTAAATTGTAGGAATTAAAAACTTTCAACTCTAAGTGTTTGTAAAGCAATTTCTGCGAGTGAAGGGGAAATAGGAGAACCCATAGGTGTGCCAAATATTTGAAGGTAAAAATGGTCGTTGAATTCGAAATAAGTATTCGAAACTATGAATTTTATGGACTCGAGAAACCAATGCAGTGATAATGTTGTATGACAAGAGATTTCGTCCCATCTAGCAGTGATGGCATCTAAAATTAATTGTAGGGGGACGTTTGTGAATAGGGATGACTACGTCAAGACTAACCAATAAGGAGTTATCAGGAATAACGGAATCGCGGAGATTGTTGACAAGTTCAAAGGAGTTTTTTGTAAAGAAACGAGACTTGACTGTGACTGAAGAGAGTATGTTGCTAAGGTATTTGGAGAATTTTGAAAGGGGTGAGTTCAGGTCAGCCACGATAGGTCTGAGAGGAACGTTGTGTTTATGTATTTTAGGAAGTCCGTAGAGTTGGGGTTGTAAGGGTGAAGGTTTTTTAATTGTCAGTGAGATTTGTGGAGTAATTTGTTTGTTAGAGACTAAGTTGTTTACAAATTTGTGAAAAGTACGGTTAATTCGGTCAGTGGGATCGGAGTTAATAGGAAGAATATGTTTTGTGTCTGAAATTAATTCGGAGACTTTTTCTAGGTACGTGGTTTTTTCCAAAATGACTGTGATATTCCCCTGTCGGCCTCGTAATTAAAATGTTAGGGTTTTCTTAATAAAAAAGTGCAAGCTTTAATGTCTCTAAGGATGTCAATATTGTCGATTTTTTTTGTGTTAAAAGATTTAATAAACGAGAGAAATTTT